GAAGCTGGTTTTCCAAAGATCCATCTGGAAAATCTCTCAAGATCCAGCAAAAAGTTTTTTCTGCTATAGTTCGATGTGCCCCAGACTTGGCTTCAAACTGGCGAAAACCGTTTCTCGATATCTCTTTGCGTTCCGGAATTATTTGAAGAGGCTCATAGATCCGATATTAGTTGAAATTAAATAACTTAGTACTAACTAAATACTTAGTAGTAACTTTGGTAGAAATGGTTTACTCATTCAATGTAGTAATTATTGGTGGTTCCATTCTTATTAGAATTATTAAATGAAGCACATTCGACATTCCATGGTAATTGTTCGATGATAAAATGTTGGCAAAATGTGCGAGATATCCAAATATATTAGAAATTTGACATACTTTTTATTGTAATAAACTTTAAAATTCTAGGAATAACAATAATATAATGGACCGTTAGACCTCTTGCCAATGTGACGTATCGCTCATATGGATGGAGAGAAACATAAGAGAATGTTATACTGAGTTATACTCAGTCATAAAAAGTTTCGTTGTCCACCTGAATACTCGAAATCATTCTGTTTTACTTGTAGGTTTTCGTGTGGATATCACAACTTTTAGCACAACTCCGAACACTGATGCACACGCGATCCATTTTCAGATCCTGTCCCCGATGAAAAGCTTTTTCTGCTTCGTCCCTTTTCAAATTGCTTCATGTAGCGCTGGTTTTTGTCTTTCTGAAACTTTCCTTCTTCCAAAACGGCATATTTTATTTCAGACAGTTATACAATTATAATACAACAAGTTCCATTCCGCGTGACCACGTCACGTCAAGTTTCAGATTGTCCATCGGCCCGGCTCCGAATAGTAGAAGTTTTTCCTCCGTGGTACTCTGTCACAGTTCCTCGTACATCTCTGATATCGAGGAAAGTGGTTGCTTCAATTCTTTTAAAATGACTTTTATAGGAAAAGATTTAAAAATATTCACCATCTGGAATATTCACCATAGAGAATTGAATTCGAAACAGAATGAGACCTCTCCCAGGCTCCCACGATGTATTCTCAATGGGATCTTTCATTTAACTTTTGGCATACCTTGTTCTCCGACTAAAAACGGCTTAGTCGATCAATGCAAGGTTATAAGAACCTTGAACAGGTCTCATTTTGTTCAGAATTCAATTCTCTATGGATCTGGATGATTTTCAAAAGCTTTTGGCTTTATACTAGCGAAGGTAATGTTCATCGCTGCACAATGGTCGTTTTTCGTACTTGGCATTTCTCAGAAAAAATTAAGAAAAAAAGGTTATTTCAGTTAAGGGTACTACCCCCCTCTTTTTGGGCTTTCCGTAGAAATGCTGTGAAATAAAAACTAAAAGTCTCTAGGGCTTTCTATTTTCTGAACTAATTGGAAACTCAATGGAGCACTTTTTCGTTTCTGTTTCAAGTTTTCAACTATTGTCGTTCACCAGTTTTTCAGAAACTCGGTTTTTTATTGTGTCGCATTACGACTCCCCTTAAATTTCATCCGATAGAGTTCAAAGTTTTACCAGAGGTACTCACGGTCATTCTGCAGAGATAATTTTTGGGAAATATTTTTGAGACATTTCCTGATCGATTTGGGAGGGAATACGGAAAAACGTCTCAAAAACCAAGTTTTTCAATTTTAGAAACCCTATAAGTCGGAAAAGAAATAGTGTGTTGACACAATAGTGTCTTAAGTATCTCTGCTAAAATTTCGAACTCGATCGGATGAAATCTAAGGGAGATCGTAATGTGGCACAATGAAGCCTCGTAGCAAAAAACTAGTTTTCGGGAAAAAACGCATTTTGTACATAGGTCACTTTTTTCAGAGCATTTGCAGCGATGATTATATCTCCGCGAAAAGCCATCGGAAAATTCTGTAAAATGTCTCATTGTGAAGAAAACACTTTCTTCTATCAGACTATATGTAAGAAAAATTTTGCATGTACAGAAAATGAGAGAAAAGTTTATGAAACTAAGCAATTGAATTTTTTAGGTTTTGAGCGAAAAACTTCAAAAATCCATAACTTTTTGAAAAAGGTTGTGGAGTACTGGCAGTGGTCTCATGCTGTAGCGCACACTTTCCCCTATATTAGTCTATGCTCAGTTTAAAATTCGAAAGCGTTACAAAAACGAGGAGGGAGGGTACCCCCTTATATGGAATTTTCCAATAAAAAAAGTCATAACTTTCAAAATAACTGAATAAAATAAATAAATTTTGTTATCTGAAATAACATTTTTTTTAAAGTTTTGCGAGAAATGTCAAGTACAGAAAATGATCATCGTGCAACGATAAACATTTTCATCCAGTATAAACAATCCCAAATGTCTTACTCCTACTGTTTCAAATGTATTTTCAAGAATATGTGCAAATAAAAACGCTTTTTGATGTTATATCGGTTATTGGTTAACCAAAACTGTTGCATGCATAGAAGAATCCGGTAACGTGTCATTTTTTAGAAAATTTATAGCTTTATCGATATGAATAGTTTTGTAACATTTTTCAGATAAAAAAGTTTTTCCATAGATTTTCTGTAAAACTCGTTTTTCAGAGACAATATGGGATTTCTTTCGAGATTTCCATGATATGCCTGCCGGAAATTCACGCCATTTATTACCTACGTGTGTAAGTTTTAATACCACGCTGCATAAGCCTGCGCTTCCCATTACATTTCTTTTTAGTAGGATTGAACTTAGTTGATGTGAAAATGAATTGCTGAAATTGAACCATATGATAAAATCAATGCAAATATTTTGTTAATCGTTTGTACATATGAATAGATCTTTCAACATACTCCATATATCGTCAGGTAGTGAGAAGAAATAGAAATTCAGTATATAATAGAAGTTTTTCAAATTTGTATAAAAGGGTGATTGATCGAGAATCTTCTATTGTATTACCTTTTTTCGTATATTTGGAAATAATTTGAAGTTTTCTTATAAAAAAAAAGTCAGAAAAAAAGAACTTTAGATATACAATTATTTTTACATTATTTTGAGAGAATAAAACAGCCGATCACCTAAATCTCAGCTATGCTGACTGAATTCTCATACACAAATTATGACTAGTTGCTGCTTATTGCACAAAAATCGGAAGAAAGTCAAAACAACTAACTCTCTCTTTTCACAGTGACATGTAATGCCGACGGTTGTCGAATACCATTTGGTAGTGTGTGAAATGAGGATCGTGGCTGTTGTTCGTACGGATGTAAATAATGATACGGATGCAATGAATGTGATTGCGATAAATGTGGTGGGTAATGGGGCGGTGGTAAAGGTTGATGTGATGAACGTTGGTATAAATGTTGTTGTGGTGGTGGATGATTTAAAAATTGATGTGGTGGGACTACTGCACCTGTCGAAGAAGAAGATGATGAAGAAGAAGAAACAGCAGCAACTCGTTGTTGAGCTGTTCCTGGAGTATTTGGTGATGTTGAGTCCGAATCGTGATGTTGTGACTGTTTAGTCGAATGCAAAAGTTTTTGACCGGGCGATTGATGCTGTTTATTTTCTTCGTCACTATCACCGGTATCTTCATCGTACCCACTCATATCATCTTCTTCATCGTTTGATGTTGTATCGTTGCCACCATTCACTGAACTCGGCGCATCACCGCCTTCTTCAGTAAAACGAATACACTTCTTTTTTCGTCTAAACATAGCAAGAAAAATTAATAATAATGAAAACTTTT